GGGTCGCTACGGAAACAGCCTCCTTGTATAATTACAAGGGTAAGGTCTGCGAACAACTGACCCTCCAGACCCCAACCTGTTGGGAATATACTGGGTATGTTTGTAATCACTTCCCAGGGCTATTGGAATTAAGCTTCAGAATTAAGCTTCAAAACTCTTGTAACAAAGTCCATGTTCTTGTGTATTTTCTTGAGGCTGAGATAGATATTCAGCTTAATAACCGCTGATTCTCACGTGTTTATGTACTCATGTTTTGGTAATTGGACTCTGTTGGAATCTCACTTGTGAGTTGTTCCACATTCATTAATTATGAATAATGAACCTAGTTTATAAGTCTAATGGGGTCACCAATTGGTTTGAGGATGGAACCTCACTAGGCGACAACTTAGCTGGCTCTCTAAATGTGTGTTTCACCACCTATGGGACTGCACCTCTTTCCCCAATATATAAAATCTAATATGTTATCGGAGCAAGCCTGATCAAGGGCCTATGATGACTCTCAGTTAACCAAGCCTGATCTGGGACGATTGAAGGACTCACAAGTGAAGGGGCATGTTGGAATATCACTTGTGAATCGTGCCACATTGGTTAAATAGGGAAAATGAACCTATTTATAAGCCTAGTAGGGTACTCCTTATATCATCAATTGATTTTGGATGCAACCTCACTAGGCGACAACTAGGTTTTGGCCCACATCGATTCGTTATTGGGTTGTTATTGTGTATAAGTGTGGGTTGGGCACCCTCACCCTTTGAGCTAGCTTTTGGTTTGAGCTTGCTTTTGGGGATGAGTTCTATCCAGGCCCATTTATCATGTTCAATTGCCTTGCTTACTTTGTCTCTCCTTATATCTAATAGTTATTCTGTTTAATTTCAGATGATTGAATCGAGGTTTAGAGACCTTTTTAATCATTCAAAGTTGTTCCTTAAGAAGAAATGGCTGTTTGGTATTATAGACGACTTCATCACAAAGCAGCTTCCGCACAATGTTACCTGGGGATTGAGTTTGTTGTATGCCATGGAGCACAAAGGTGATCGAGCTTCGACTTCAACTCAAGGTGAAGGCAATTCTCTGAAATTTTCAATTAATGGTTGGTAAATTTTGTTGCTAAAAGATTATTCACTGGTCCAAACCATATTCAGGTGAACTGGCACATGCACTAAGATTTTTAGCGTCTGTTGTATCTCAAAGCTTTTTGGCGTTTGGCGATATTCTTGAGCTGCATAGGAAGTTTCTGGAGCTTTCTGGGGGTATTAATCGCATTTTTGAACTTGAGGAGCTTCTAGATGCTGCTCAACATGGTGTGTTCTCTTTCTTTATTTTCTGAAAAGCATCTCATGTGATATAATCTTGGTGGTGTGGAAAATTAATATTGTCATTCACTAGGGATGTTTAAGAACAATATTCTAAATAGAATGTTCAGTTGCAACTAATATTCTTAGAAGGATGTGGGTTCCAATTATCCAAGTAATGTAGGTGATTATGTACGATAAGTTGTTACTGTACTTTGCAAGATTTATATGTATTTGAAGATGATTTGTAGGACTAAAAGGGTTCATGCAATAGTTTATAATATATTGTGATTCTCTTGTATTGTCCGAAGTGCTGTGAAGCCACCTCTATCTGCTAAATTTATTTATCGTCTGTTAGTTTGCGATTGATGAAAAAGTGCCTTGTAGTATACATGTCAATAGCTTGTTGGATTTGAGCACTTGTTGGTGTAATACAAAGCTTTTGTGGCTTATTATTATTCACTGATTAGGTGGCTTCTGCACTTTTTGCTAGTACTCATAGTTACATTATATTAGTTTCAATTCTTGTATTTCAGCAAAGGTATATGATAAGCCTGACCAGAATTTTATGTCAACAGATTTTTCCTCAGTATCCAAAAACACGGAGTTCCATTCAGACGATATTATTTCCTTCTCTAAGGTGGATATCATTACACCAGCTCAAAAACTTTTGGCTCGACAATTAACGTGCGATATTGTGCCTGGGAAAAGCCTTCTTGTTACAGGTTAGTACATATGTCTCGTCAGACTTTTTGTAGTTCATTGTGTTTGTAACGTTATTAGATTTGACTATTTGACTTTTTTTTTTTTCTCCTGATTTCAAGGTCCAAATGGAAGTGGAAAGAGTTCGATTTTCAGAGTCCTTCGAGGGCTTTGGCCCGCTGTCAATGGAAAACTCATTAGGCCTCAACAGCAATTCGGTTATGAATCTGGGTCTCGTCTCTTTTATGTGCCCCAGCGGCCATATACATGCTTGGGGACTCTTAGAGATCAGATAATATATCCTCTTTCTCGTGACGAAGCTGAGAAAAGGACTTTACCGTTGATCAAAGAAGGTAAACGTGCTTGGTGTTTCTATTGTTTCTAACTCATTTTGAATCTGTGTAATTAATACTTCTTGGTGGTTTAGTAATACTAAAGATACAGTTTTTTGTTAACTAAAATGTGAAAACAGCATAGAATATACCATGGAGCTTGTCATTGTGTAAGCAACTCGATGTTTTATATACTCTAATAAATTAATTTGACACGATTTCTGAAAATAGGTCAAGTATCCTCTGATTCAACAGACATTTTAGATTCTCATCTAAAAACTATTCTGGAGAATGTTAAACTACAATATCTTTTGGAAAGAGAAGGTGGATGGGATACTTGCCAGAACTGGGAAGACATTTTATCTCTTGGGGAGCAACAACGTCTGGGCATGGTATCTTCACCTACTTAGTATTTGAACATGATTTTCACCATATATGTTGACAATGTACTTACTTTGAGGAATTGTGCTTTATTCATTGACATTATATTTATTGTTTTACAAGGCACGATTGTTCTTTCACAAGCCCCAGTTCGGAGTCCTCGACGAATGCACCAAGTAATGAAAAAAAAAAATCTTATTCTCGTTTTCTTTTCATTTAGGAGATGAAACCATATTGATGTTTTCGATAATAACAGAAACTATTATTAGGTTACTTTTAACTGCAAAACACTCCAGTTATCTATGGAAACTACAAATTTTCCCTGTTATGCATTTTGTATTGTTGAAAAATAACTGGGCCTTATTATAATTAGGCTAAATCTCAGTGGCTTTTCTAATTAACCTGGGTGTTATTTTCAATTGGTATTTCTTTATAATGCAGTGCCACGAGTGTTGATGTAGAGGAGCACCTCTACAGGCTTGCAAGAGACTCGGATATTACTGTTATAACATCCTCCCAGGTACAGAGTTAGCTAATTTGTTTATTATCTTGCCTTTTTCACTTTTTCTTGCTTCATGCTTTTTTAAGCTAATATATGTTAAAATTTCACTTGTAGTTTGTGAGTGCTGCTGTTGGTTTATTAATCATGGATAATCACATGAACGACATATCTCCTTTTCTTTTATTTTCGTTTTTTTTTTTTCACCATTCCACTCTGTGGAGTTGCGGTTAATTGACGGAGAGGGAAAATGGGAGTTCCGTACAATTGAGCAGTGAGTTAAAGGATACTACTTTAGAGTATTGTTGGGCAAACATAGCCACTACTCACTGCTAATGGTTCAAATGCCCTCTTGAATGGTGGAATCGAAATGGAACGTTTTATTATTGTTTGTTGTTAATCCAAATAAAAGCAGAATATATGATGTATATTTTCTTCACAACATTTGAAGGAATGAGGGTAGGGATTAGGTAGGGACGAAAATATTAGAGCAAATAGAAACAATGTAAAGTTGCAATATTTTAGCAGCAACTCTTGTTCTGTTGTAACATTTATAATCGATCGATTTTTATTAGGCTCACCGAATCAATAAAGAGGCCTACCCTGCAGTTATATTCTGCGGAACTATGCAAATTTTGTTTGCTGTTAGTTACGTTAAATTATGTTTGTACAAAAGTTTGCTTGCGAAATTTGTTGTTCGTGAGGCGTGCGGTGCTGTATAGACAAAACTATGCATTGGTTGCTAAAATGCTCATCTTTTTGTCATAATATTTGCAAGTATTCTCTCCACGTTTTAACAACCCTCCTCAGTTAAAATTTTGAAAGTGCAACCTATAAATTAGAATTGATTATATCAACTAGTAGTGGATAGTGGATTGTATACCACTAGCGGATTTGATAATTGATTGTGTAATAATGTTTAGTAAATAGCAAATATTGGATAATTGTTTTTTTGGTATAAATGAGTAATAATGACATTAGACACTGTTTTGTTATGTACATTTATTTATAATATAGGTATCTGCAATGAATTTATTGTTAATTATGTACTTTAAAGATAATTCTTAGTTTAAACTATGTAAACTAATGATCATATAATAATCATATAATATTAACTGATGATCATATAATAATCTCATTTGTGGTAAACTATGTTGATGTTGATGTTGCATCACGAATTTTAATATTAACACCACAATTGTTTTGAACAAAATTAATTTTAAGATTGTTTCCTTAAAATTAGGAATATTGCATATGTGTATACTATCCAAGGACGAAAAACATGCCTTACGAAATGTTTTCTTTTTTTTAACNAAAAAAAAAAAAAAAGAAAAAAAAATAACGACTCCGCTGGGGATCGAACCCAGAATCTCTGGTTCCGTAGACCAGCGCCTTATCCATTGGGCCACGGAGTCGAATTTAAAATGTAAGTAATAATACCTAATTTTGTAACAGTATATGTTTCTTCTGCATTACCACATAATATGAAAATAAATCATTTTATAGTATTTACATCCTACCATGCAACTTTGACTCGTCTTTTGAAAAACTGTTCTCCATTTTATGCAGGCAAATGCTGACGTGTGAGTGAGAATTATCAAATACTTGAATTCGGAATCACGATATATAAAATGTCGGGTACGAGAGCTCAAAGATATCATGAACGACTAGTCATAGAAGAATTCGCCCATCAGTTGTTAGAGCTAAAGTTATGGCCTAAATTTTTCTTAGAACCAAATGTAAACATAATAATCATAAAATTTACCTCTGTGCTTAACCAGATCACTAAAAGAACTCGCCTATCAGTTATAGATCACGGTATTTAATTAGGAATATTAAAATCTGATAATTGTGCTTCTGAACACTTTTTTAAGTAACTACTCCAAGAACACTAATCTTTGCAATATATGTTCAGTCCAAAACCCCAAGACAACACTTACTACTTACTACAAACAGCATTCACCCTCCATCTGAAATCACATCGAAAACAATAGTTATTTGGAATAAATTAGGATTTTAAATAAAAAGTCAGACCAAACAATGGATAACACAGTTCATCAAACAGTCACAATATCCTTCCACACTCTACTCTTTTGGAGAGCCATTTGCAGCTGCCATCTTTGCCTCATCATAAGCAGCAACGTGAACTCCGAGTGCGGCTCGACCAGAAGGGTCGAGATTTTTGGACCACGACGCATCCCATTCTACAGCTTTCGCGCTACTGCACGCTACACTAGGACCCCCTGGTACTGTAGATCTTGCCGCATTCTTT